GGATCTGTTGCTCTCAGTTCAGAGCCATCCCAGCCAGCTTGCAACAATTACAATGCTGCTGCTCCACCAGCCTCTTGGTCATCATGTCAGCTGGCTGCCCCGTTGTCTTTACATACCGCAACTCAACTTCACCCGCGGCCACCATGCTCCTCGTCCAGTGCCACTTCACCCTCATGTGCTTGGTCAGGCCGTGCAACACAGGGTTCTTGGCTAGAGCAATGGCTCCCTGGCTGTCACAGTAGAGAGGGGTTGGTCCTTGCTGCTCCTCCCCCAATTCAGCCAGCAAACGCCGCTGCCACACAATCTCCCGTACGGCACGGAAGAGTGCCATGTACTCGGATTCCACCGAGCTCAAAGCTTGGTCAACCTGCTTCTTGCTCTCCCAAGCAGTTGGACCTCCACCAACACAGCAAATGAACCCTCCAACACTTGTCATGTCCTCTGGTTCAGAAGCATAGGAGGCATCCGAGAATGCGGTGAGGAACAAACGCCCGGGTTCCACACCATCCGCGCCCTTTTGGCGCCTTTGTGCCGCTGCCGAGTATTGCAGCCCAACGGTCGGTGTTTGGCCAAGATACTTGGCCACCCTCATTCCAGCTGCTACCTGCTCCTCATTAGGGCATTGCACAACCCTTGCCAGCTGCCCGGTAGCAAACGCGACATCCGGTCGTGTGTTGACCGCCGCATACATGAGGCTGCCCACCAACGAGTGAAAACGGCGCCTCTCTTCTTCACCCACGCTCTCCTCCTCTGGTCCCTTCACACACTTGAACCCAGAAGGAAAGGGTGTAGCCACATGGCCTTCATTCTGCCCAAAGTTGGCAGCCAATGCCTCCATGTATTTCCGTTGGTGCACCCGCATGCACCGCTTCTCCACGTCTCGTTCGATGTGGAGTCCAAGGTAGAAGTTCACGTCCCCGAGGGACTTGCACTTGAACTTGTCTTGCAGCTTCAGCATCACCTCCTTCACAAGGTCAGAGGAGGGTGAGAAGATCAGGATGTCGTCCACGTACACCACCATGAAGCTCCTCTGCTCCCCCTCGCCAAGCATGAACAAGGAGTGATCGGCCGTTGAGGGAGTGAAGCCGATCCCCTCCAACACTTCGCGCAGCTTCAGGTACCACTGCCTAGGGGCCTGCTTCAGCCCATAGAGGGCCTTCTTCAGCTTCCACACTCTGCCGCTGCCATCGTCAAACCCCTCTCGTTGCGCCATGAAAATCTCCTCCTCGAGGATTCCGTTGAGGAACGCCGTTACGATGTCTAGCTGCTTCACCACCCAACCTTTGATCGCGGCTCCCGCGAGTAGGGTTCGCAGCGTCGTCGGCTTCACCATAGGAGCAAACAGCTCCTTGTAGTCCACATTCTCCTTCTGCTGGTACCCCTTGGCCACCAGCCTAGACTTGTAACGCTCGATCTTGCCGTCGGCGTCGGACTTGATCTTGAAGAGCCACTTGGACGTAATCGCCGTACGCCCCTCCGGTAGCTCCACCAACTCGTACGTGTCGTTCTCCTCAATGCTCTTCAGCTCACTCTCCATTGCCTTCTTCCACTCCTCAGCATCACCACTCTCCAAGGCCTCCTTGAGAGTTGCTGGTTCTCCCGGCATCTCCACCGGAGAGAAGAACGCGAAGGCACACTCCTCGTACTCGCTCTCCTCGTCGTCTCCGACCATCATTGCCGCTCCAGCTAGGGCCGTCTTGCCCTGCTTCCCCGGCGCATCATAGGTCAGCCTATTGGGGGCTTGAACTTTCCTCTTGACCCTTCCTGTGAGAGTACGACGGCTTTGCTATGATTTACTAGCTTGATTATGCTTTATTATGCATTATCTAGCTTAGCTTTGCTTTATTTTGCTTGCTTTTGCTAGATTTCCTAGGTTCGTTGCTTTACTATATTTATTATAGTTATAGGCACCGAACTAGGTTGAGTGCACCGAATTCTAGGCTTTTCGGTTGCCACCGAATTGCCTTCTACCGAATTCGGGAAGGACCTGTTCGGGACGCTTCGCGACCCGCGGAACCTTCTAGTAACACCAGGGTTACTGCCTTTGTGTCGAGCCTATATATAGCCTCGCCTTGTACCCAGGTGCATCATTCAATAGTTCAATCTTTCCTGAACCGGATCCTCACACTTCCTTCCTCCTCAGCTGCAGGGACTTGAAGGCCTTGGCGTTGCTGCGGTGTGGTGCGGTTCCGTGGAGCGCTCGTAGTGCGGGAAGGGAGCGTCGGTGCACGCTCGCTCACTTGCTGCACCTCCTCCTCCTCCTCTTCCTCTGCATCCTTGGCCTCCTCTCCCCCATTCACAAGGGAAGATTGCCTTGTGGTGGTGCTGCCGCTGCTCAGCTCCAAAGGCAGCTCCACGTGCTCCAAGCCGGAACTCTTCACCTCTCCAAACCGCACGCCTATCTTCGCCTCATTCTCCGCCTTCCAATCCTTGTACATGAAGTTCTCCATGAACTTGCAGTCCCTGCTCACCATGAACTTCTTGGTGAATGGGTCCCAAA